GAGTCAAAATGTGCTGAGGCAATACACACGGCTGATCACTTATCTGTAAATAAGGGGAAGATAAGGGGGTGAGTTTCACAGACTCACTAATCATCGACTCCATGAGTAGGGCGTAGATGGGAAACAAGCCAGTGATAGAAAATTTGAATTTTAAAAACATATGAATATATAAACAATTTAAATTCAAATGGAACATTTGTGCCTTACATATAAACCCTAGAATTGTGATGCAAAATAACCATTTCAAGTAATTTATTTAAACTAGTACAATTAGAAGATTTCTATCATCAAAATCATTTAATGACCCTTGCTTAAAGTCAAACTAACATAAGCACACACACTCCCATAAAATCAAGCAATGTCAATGCTTATACACAAGCATATAAACGAACTCATCCTCGACGTATTAAACACAAAATTATCGTATAAATTAAAGAGCTATGGAAAAATCTATATTTTTCACCATGCAAAAGAATACGTGTTTGAAAACCCAAAGAGATATCATTCTTGAGTAAGTAATCGTAAGTAAGCAACCTGTGGACCCTCTTCCACGTAATAACATCCTAACGGTCCCTTTCCACTAGATTCCCATAGCCATGGCAGTCTTGACGATTCTTGCCGACATTTGAGAAATATGTGGTCGCAACCATGTATATCAACTCGTGGCCTAGCCATGTATATCAACCCGCGGCCTTTCCATGTATATATCACAAACCATGGCCTAGCCATGTCTCACAGCCGGCCGATGACCTAAAGGTTCTCTAGCTAGAGCTCACTTATGCACAAGGGTCACACTACCCCGATATGACATTCGACCTACTCTCAAATCTCCTAATTTGACAAAACCATTTATAACCAAATTAAGTTTTCAAAAGCTTATTTTGAAATCAATTTCCAAAATACAAATCACGATGATGTTATAAATCCATTTGTAAGAATTCATGATGTAAAACCTTTGCATGAGGTTTAAGTATTAAATCAAAGCATGGTGAACATAAAGCTTATTCATGAATGCACATCACAAAAACAATTAAGGCATGTTTTGACATAAACCATGGTAAAGAGCTTATTTCCTGGTTTCTAAAACCTTTTACATATATAGCTTATATATATACCAAATCATTTCTAAAAATATAGGATTCACAAGTGCCTATCATTCTACCAACTCATGCTATCTACAATTGCATTTAAAGAAAACCAGCAACGTTTATTATATGTATATCATTATATAGTTTATGACACTTTAGAAATAGACACCTTCTACTCACCTCACATGGTGGGATGCTAGTTTGCCATTGATTCTGGTACATCTTTAGCTAATTTTACTTGCCAGTCACCAGTCACCTCCTTCGGTACAACACCACAACAATCTTTCCTCATTTATATACTTCTTAGCAGCAAATTAAACTTAATATACTTAGTGAACATCACCACAATTTGGCTCATATTTACTGCTCTATATACCATATTCTTAGTTCTCTTTCTTTTTAAGAATCCCTCACAATAGTTGACTTCTCCCATTATGTGCACTTTCGTGTTTATATTTAATTGTACACATATATGGGCAGCACCTTAATCAATGAATCATTAATCTAATTTCACATTTTTCACCCTTATTATTCATAATAATCTAACATGAAATCTATAAACTTTCAACTAACCAATTCCAATAAAACATAGTATACCTAAGAACTCTATTATATATAGTTATTTTGATATATTTTGGGGGCTTAAGTAACTAGATCTTTGAGATTTTAGATTCAAATTTTAGCATTTTAAGTGTTTTTCTAGTTT